CAGTTTAATAGAACAAAGTGTTCTTGCATTGAGGGAGTACAACCAATGATTTTATGGATAATTTGCATAGTAGCTTGCCTTAAGTTACACATCTGTTCAATGAAGTTGTGATTTCAGGGACAGTCTGTTCCAGAATGAGGGTTCTTCACAATTCTCCGCAGCTGCTCAGTGCCCTCTCTGGGAGTTTACAAACCTCTTGGAGCCATGCTGTTAATTCCACGTTGATCACTCAGTTCTCTCGCGCCGAGCTGCCTTGAATGTCACCTTTCTAGTCAGAGGCTCCCTTTGACCTCTGTGTGCCTTTGCTGGACTCACTTGTGACTGCTCCATTCTACATCGATCTCTGTACTGGGTCCATAATGAGTGTGTTCCTGTTGCCATACACCATTTCTCCCGTGTCCTAGCAAAGCTGTTGTTTCCTTTTATCCTTTGGAGGGTGCCCTATGCTCCTCTTACACAGACTTGGACAAAACCCGTGCTTATTGAGGTGACTGGCATTGCCAGCATTCAGCGTACTGCCACAGCCATAGTGGGCTGGGCCGCTACTTAAGTTTATTGCCACTTGTGTTTTTCCATTGGGTTTTTTTTTTTTGTCCTGCTTCCTGGCAGTTGGTGGAGTATGGAGATTAAGACTGCTGTCCTCTCCACTGTGTCCCAAATAATACTCTGGCCACAACATTAAATTGGAAAATATCCCCAAAGTCTGGGAACAATTTGTTTTGGTGAGCTAGGTAGCAGGCATGTCTGAATAGTGGCCAACGCCTATATTCTAGTTTATTTACAGAGCTTCTATTACTTGTTTGGAAGACTGGGAGGGAGAAGAGTGAAACTAAGAATCAAATGTCCCTTACTGTATAAGCTCAGAGGCCACTTTCCATTGTGTTGGTGAATAGGTGACAGAAAGAAGGTAATATTTGCTCTGTTTCTCAGTGTTCAGGAATTCATGACCTTTACAAGTCAGCTGATTGTGGAGCGCTCAGTGAAAGGCAGCCGAGCATCTGTCAAAGAACAAGGTAAGGAGCAGCTATCTCCGGAGTTCCTCACCTGACGAGGGCTGCGATGCTGCAGGCCCTATGCAGCCCACAGAACCCTCAGCATGCTGACACCGATGAAGCAAACCGTCACTTCCTGGGCGAACATCTAGCTTGTCATCTGTCCCCCCACTTCCTTCTGCTACCTGTGCATAGTATTGTGCTCACAGTTGAAGCCTGGGGTTCCTGGGCAAAATCCCGCCCCCCCCCCCTCCCAGCTTAGATTCACTTAAGATGAAGGTCTAATTCTCTTGGACCACTAAGCATCTTCCTATTGTATTGCCCCTTCTCCCTTCTGAATTGCAGACCCCTCAGGAAAGCATTTGCAGCTAGAGTTTTCTGAGATAACCTACCATTCTGGGCTCCTTAGATTAAAAAAATTTTTTTTTAATTATGAATCTGAAAATCAAATTATTTTTCCTGTTTATAATTTCCTTTTCATAACAATTTTCTTGGGGTAACATTTTGTTGTTGCTTATTTTAGAGGTATATGTTACACAGATAGATTTAGGAAAGATATATATGAACTCTATCAAACAACAAGGGTGAGGTACCCTGGCCTTCAGTCAGTGTAGGAAGTTACTATACTGGTATATTAATTATAGGGCAAAGCAGTATTAAAATTGAGTATCTCATAAATGAGTCATGATGCATTTAAATATTTTCTTAATACTTGTTGAGTCTGGGTCTGCCTTTATAACTTTATCTTTCTTAAGACGTGGACCTCGGCTTTTTAGTTTCTGTGGAGTGGGAGGCATCTGTCTGGTTGTTTGAGTCGTAATTTCCGTGAGAATGAGAACAGTGTCTGGAGAGCATGGTGGTAAATCTCTGAATCGCCCTCCTTCCTATTCTAGTCTTTTATCTTTTCTGCTTTAAGAGATTCAGAATCTCTTTCTCTCCTCTTTTATTTGTTAGCTAGTTGTTATGCACTGGACTGTTTTGGATCAGATTCTTGTTAAGTTCTTAGTAGTAAGTTGTAATTCTT